ATTGTTGTTTGGCGGGTCCGGGCTGGGGATTTGAACCTGCCACCTTAGGTGTATGTGGCTGGCGCCTTAGCCGGGTGAGCTATATGCGCCTAGCCCCATTCAGCATTTTTGTGCTAAAATGCAAGAATTTCTTTTATTTTTTCACAGAAATAGCACACACAAAGTAGTTTTCCAATTAAGTCTTAGAAAACTGGGAAAAACAATTGATCCGATTGCCTACTGAATTTAGATTCTACCAAGAATTTAAACCATGTAAAATGAGTTCCATCCCTCAAGGAAATTATAAATTTAATTGGGAAGACAAGAGCTGCATATGCTGTAAATTAGTGATATAAGAAATAATAACAGAGGAAGTACTTCAATTATAATTTTGCCACATAGTGATATAGTTTATATGTTGGGTGTTTATATACTCACACATATATGTAGATATCTCACACATGTATGTGGATATCTCACACACATATGTGGATATTTTAACCAGAGATGTCCTGGTTCCTAGTCATTTAGAGGATCTCGTTTGTGGATTTCAAGGCCTTTCTACCTAATCATTCTTATCGTTTTGGTATTTATTATAAGCTGCATATATATCACACTGATAGTAAATTCATCAGGCTTATAGTGATTATGACTTCTGTGTAAAATAAGAGCTGAAAAGTATGAGGATAAAATTCCTTTATTCGCTGAGTGTAAATGAAATTTATTCTTTCATTATTGTTTCTATGTTCCAAGTCTTATAAAGTTTAAATCTACCTCTTAAATTGAAGATTGGCTTGAAGCCTTAACAAAATAATAAAAACAAACAAACTCTAATGCTAGTAAGAGAAATCCAGGTTATCTATTGTTTGGAGTTTTACCTTTTCTTCCTTAGCTGACCGATTTAATCAGTCAATTCTTAGACTGCCATTAGTCCTTTGTGTGTTTATTTATTTATTTTAACCATGTCAATTTGACTTCCAAATCATTTTAATGAATAGTTAAATGACAGTTGCCAGGGTATCCTGCCAGCAGGTGGTCATGTCTTAAGATTGGTGGACGTGATGTCAATTCTGAATGGTTATATTCTAGAGCATCATTATTGCCTTGATATTTCATGATATTTATTCAGTGTGCACTGATTGTTTTGTTCAAGAAACTAGGTGTGAAATACTGTGGTTTATGCCTTGCAGTCCTGAAGAAGCCAGCAAATGCCATTGCTTTACTTTTTAAATATGATTTGAATGGAACTTGATTTTAAGTTGTCATCGTATTGTCTGATGGCCTCCCAAAGAGTATATTAGCTTTCTAAATTTGGTTATCATCTTTTCAGTTTATTTGTTAGTTTAAGCAGCAGAATTTTGTGGCAACCTTGGGTTCTTATTGCTCCCTCAGAGCACTCAACATCAACTGATGCTTTTAGATTTTCTCATTATAAAGGAAAATATGGTACATTTCCCCTGGTATTCCAACTGTCACCTTTGACTCATTGCTCAAATATTACCTTGTTTCTAGAACTTCTTGACCTTTCTTCATGGCCATTCTACATTCATTCTTCTGGTTCTTTAGAATATACCTTAATCTCCACCTTCTTCCAAACCCATCAATGATAAGTAACCAGATATGCTTATATGCAAATATATACATAGGCATTCTTTTTTATTCTTCATTTTGTTCTGTTTAGTTTATTAATTTTATATGGGTTTGCCTGCTAGATTTAAAGCTACTTAATAGCAGGAAAACCATCTAACAGCTTATAACCCTCATACGGGTGTCATGTGCCCTGTGGACGCTAATTATAAGTATATTGGATTCATTCATACCCATATTGGTCATCCTCAATAGTAGCTGTACATACAAAGAAAAGGTGATGATGCAAAGTTTACATCTGCTATCCCAGACTACTTTTTGTGTATTTTCTATAATAAAATCATGTATTGTGTAGCTTTTTGATAAACTTTTTGATATTTTGAAGGAGATGGAAGAGTAATAAGTCCTTCGCCTCGTAGTAAATCATCATGCATCTCATCCACAACAAATGTGACAGAACTATATGGGCTGGAAATGAAAACTGCCACGAGCTCTTTATCCGCATTTGGAGATTCTTCCATTCAGACACCTTCAAAGTCCAGAATCCGGCAGGGCTGTCATAGTGCTGGCCCAAATGTATCTGGTAATGAGGGACTATCATCTCAGTTGTAAGAAAGTTAAAATTTAGTACCAACAGTCAGGATTACAGAGGGTTGAGAATAGCCCTAGAGTAGTGTTCAGTACTTTCAACTAGTCTCTAAGGCAGGGGAAATATTATTTGGTTCTCACAGAACATATAGTTTAAGCTAAAGGAGGAAGGAAACAAATGCAAATTTAGTAAATAACTTCAAATGTAGAGAGTTTTGGAAACTTTCTAGATAAGATATTTATAGGTGCCAAAGTCCTCCAAATGTAAGGTGACTTTAATTTCAAGATTTCAAAAGGTTTTTCTTAATCAAGTAATTTGTATATCATTTTTAATAGGTGATCATATTAATTTGGTGACCTCATCAATGCCATCATTTCCTATTCTCCAACGTTCTTCTGAAGAGAAAATTCTTTACTCAGACAGGTTGACCCTAGAAAGGTGAGGACAATTTATTTTATTTTTTTGACCAGGTAATACATAGACATAATACGTGTACAAGATTTGAAAGATACAGAAGTATCCTTCCCTCCTCCTGTTCCTGAGCTATCTATTTTTGCTACCAAAATATAGTCACTTCTTACTAATTTTTCTATCCTTCCAGAGGTATGGTAAAGGAATTTTATATCTATATAGTATAAAAGAGATAGACTATATTTTAAAAGACTACTATAGACAATTCTAAAATATGACATTGATAAAAATGGATTTAGGATAGAAAAAACTTTGCAATATAATCACACAGGCTTGCTGGGCCCTATCCATTCTAATTCCCTGTTACCTTACTGGCCTCATCTCTTCACATGCTCTCATTCACTCACTGTGCTTCAACCACACTTGCCTCCTTGCTGTTCCTTAAGCACACCTTGCATGCTTATCCTTTAGGAATTTTGTACTTGTTGTTTCCTCTGCCTGGAATTCTGTTCCTTCTCATATCTGTAGACTCACCCCTTACTTTCTTCAGGTCTTTGCTCAGATGTCATCATCTCAGAGATGATGTTCTCTGGCCACCCTCTCCAACATTATAGCCCCTTTCACTGATAGTCCCAGGTCCCTTCCCTGCTTTATTTTCTCATTAACATTTATTAACCTATAACCTTTTAACTATTTGCTTATCATGTTTATCTTCTACTAGAATACAAGTTCCACAAGCAGGAACTCTTGTTCGGTTCTGCATTCTTGGCACCTATAACAGAATGTGGCACAAAAGAGATTCTTGACAAAAAAAAATTTTAAATAAGTGAATATATTTAGGACTTGATCCCTATTTTTATATCTAGGAAGATATCCACAATGTAGTGTTGGATGAAAGACCCCAACCTTTACCCCGGTGGTGTAACCAGCAAAGAAAACATCCCAGCTGTGTGTATCTTTAGCTTAGCAGTATGAACCTAGCAACAAATGGTAGTAGACCTTGTGTGTTTATAGTTAGGAAGAACATCTCTGGAGAGTCTAACATGTTGTTTTGTAGGCAAATAGCAGCATCTCTCATGACATCTGTGTAGTATTAGTGGTTTTGGAGATTATGATGCTAGTTAATATTTATAACTTTCATGATATCATTTTGATGCTTTGAAGGATTGTTTTAGTAATTTTTTTCTTGGTCTTTAAAAGCTTGGTCAAGAACAGTATCTTAGCCTTCCAGTTTAATGTTGCTTGATATTAACAGAAGCTAGTATTAGTAAGACTGTGACGTAACAAGTCAGATACTTCCAGCTTGTGGTCACTCAGGCAAGTATGAAGGTGGATACTTGGTAGCTTGGGCGTCTAGAGTGGAGAAGCAAATTTTGATCAGATGAAAACTTCGTTATCAAGAAAGTCAGGACCAAAGGAACTGATTCTGCTTGTGGTTGTGAAATGATAGAATCACAAAGATTTCATAAGATTAGGTATAGTTTGACCAGAACCAGGATGTGCATCAAGAAAGGTGTGCTAGCAGCAAAGAACCAACTTAGGAATTATTATTTGAGAGCCACTGGGTAAAGACAGCAGGTTCCAAAGGCAGATCTATCATTCTATGCAGCTTCTTAGCCGAGAGACTGAGGGGTCAAAAGTAGAATCCAGCCCTGAGAAGAAATATTTGGAGGAGCTAGGCTCTGGCTGTTCTGGGAGGTAAGGTAGGCCTGGAATATTAAGAAGATAGCTGATCAGCACCCAGAAGGAAACACAGAAGAAAAACATAGTCCGATAGATGTGTCAGTAATAGGGTAGGAGATGTGACAACTCAAGAGTTTTATAGCCATGACCAACTCTCCTGGAGGGCACTGGCACTGTATGTTTACTTGCTTGTTTTGGTGGAGTGACAGGGATTGCTGGGGTTAAAGGATATACGAGTGAGCCTTGGAGTTGGGATTTAGCCACTATGTTTGGAGTCTGAGAAAGTGACCTCGTTTTAAGCTAACTAAAGTAGCTTATATCAGAGGGAGATGAGAGTTATTTATTTTCTTTTCTCAGATGATTGACTGAAGAACTGGATGAAATAGGAGTTCGGGGTATCAGTAACTTTAACTGTGAAAACTAGAGAAAGACTGAAGCAAGAAAAATGATATAATTTAAGTTTTTTTGCAAAGTTGTACAGAGATATAAATTTAAACTAGAATACTTACAATTTATTAATTTGCAATTTATAAACCAGAAGTACCAACTCTGGTAGAATAGCAATGCATAAAATATCTTATAAATATTAACCACATATTAAAAAGTTAAACTGTTGCCTAATATTTTTTACTTTCCCTCTTATTTTAAACCAATTTCTTCAGCATCAGTATTTTTAAACATCATATCTTTGTAAACCTTTAACTTTTTTTTCTGGGAATTATTCTTTTCTTTTCTTTGTAAGGATGGTTCTTTTCATTTATGCTTGTGACACTCTGGTTTATTTTCATTAAAACTTATAGTAACTTGATTTTTCCTGAAATCTCTTATAAACCTCCCTAA